ACATAGGGGGGGAGAAAAGTGTCATGTTCGCGCCCTAGAGGGCCTCTTTTCGGCAGCCCTCGATGCCCCCATTCATCGGGCATGTCCTCGTTCAGGCGGATCCTGGAAGAAAGTCTCCAAAAAAGTCAAACGGTAGCCACAAAAATCAAAAGAGCATGAACACTCGGCACGATACTATTTCCCAACCATCCTGTAATGTCGGGTCATCGTTTTGAAGAGACGGTCCCCGCGGTCCTCTGTCCTTCCTCCTCCCCCTCCTCCCTCATTCCCCTCCTCCTCCTCCTGCTCCTCCTCCTCCTCCTCCTGCTCCTCCTCCTCCTCCTCTTCCTCCTCCTCCTCCTCCTCCTCCCTCCTCCCCTCCCTGCCTCTGCTCCCCGCATGCCCGTGCCATGTCGGCGCACCCCTCACACGTTTCGTGGCTTCATGCGGAGCTCCACATATGGCCCTCAGTGGGAAACTTCGCATGACACCACCGCCACAGTTCGGCACACCCTCACACGCGTCGTGGCCCCACAGGGAGCTCCACCTAAGGCCCCAGTGGGAAAGATCGCATGACACCGCCACCCCATTCTGGCACACCCATTACACGCTTCGTGGCCCCATCAGGAGCTCCACCCAAGGCCCCAATGGGAAAAAAACGAATGTTACCGCCGCCCCAGTTCGGCACACCGCGTACACGCTTCGTGGCCCATAGGGAGCTCCACCTAAGGCCCCATTGGGAAAGGTTGCATGGCATCGCCGCCCCATTTCGGCACACACCTCACACGTTTCGTGGTCCATAGGGAGCTCCACCTAAGGCCACAGTGGGAAAGTTCGCATGGCACCGCCGACCCATTTCGGCACACACCTCACACGTTTCGTGGCCCCATCAGGAGCTCCACCCAAGGCCCCAGTGGGAAAGTTCGCATGGCACCGCCGCCCACTGCCGCCCCATTTCGCCACACCTCTCACACGTTTCGTGGCTCCACAGGGAGCTCCACCGAAGACCCCAGTGGGAAAAATCGAATGACACCGCCGCCCAATTTCGGTACACCCCTCACACGTTCCGTGGCCCACAGGAGCTCCACCTAAGGCCCCAATGGGAAAAGTTGCATGACATCGCCGCCCCAGTTCGGCACACACCTCACACGTTTCGTGGTCCATAGGGAGCTCCACCTAAGGCCCCAGTGGGAAAGGTTGCATGGCACCACCGCCTCATTTCGGCACATACCTCACACGTTTCGTGGTCCCATCAGGAGCTCCACCCAAGGCCCCAGTGGGAAAGTTCGCATGACACCGCCGCCCACCGCCGCCAATTTTCGGCGCACCCCTCACACGTTTCGTGGCCCCACAGGGAGCTCCGCCGAAGGCTCGTCTGGGCAAGTTCGCATGGCACCGCCGCCCCATTTCGGCACACCCCTCACACGTTTCGTGGCCCCACAGGGAGCTCCACCGAAGGCCCCAGTGGGAAAGTTCGCATGGCGCCGTCACCTCAATGTGACACACCCAGCACACGCTTCGTGGCCCCACAGGACGCTCCACCGAAGACCCCAGTATGAAAAAGCGAATGGCACCTCCGCCCCATTTCGGCACAACCCTCACACGTTCCGTGGCCCATAGGGAGCTCCACCTAAGGCCCCAGTGGGAAAGGTTGCATGGCACGGCCGCTCCAGTTCGGCACACACCTCACACGTTTCGTGGCCCATAGGGAGCTCCACCAAAGGCCCCAGTGGGAAATATCGCATGACACCGCCGCCACATATCGATACACACACACACACCTCACACGTTTCGTGGCCTCATCAGGAGCTCCACCCAAGGCCCCAGTGGGAAAGTTCGCATGACACCGCCGCCCACCGCCGCCTCATTTCGGCGCACCCCTCACACGTTTCGTGGCCCCACAGGGAGGAAGGTCCGCCGAAGGCCCGTCTGGGCAAGTTCGCATGGCACCGCCGCCCCATTTCGGCACACCCCTCACACGCTTCGTGGCCCCACAGGGAGCTCCACCTAAGGCCCCAGTGGGAACGTTCGCATGGCACCGCCACCCCATTCTGGCACACCCGTCACACGCTTCGTGGCCCCACAGGGAGCTCCACCGAAGACCCCAGTGGGAAAAATCGAATGGCACCGCCGCCCTATTTCGGCACACAACTCACACGTTTCGTGGCCCATAGGGAACTCCACCGAAGGCCCCAGTGGGAAAGGTTGCATGGCACCGCCGACCCAGTTCGGCACACACACACACACACACACACACCTCACACGTTTCGTGGCCCATAGGGAGCTCCACCGAAGGCCTCAGTGGGAAAAGTTCGCATGGCACCGCCGCCCCTTTTCGGCACACACACACACACCTCACACGCTTCGTGGCCCCATCAGGAGCTCCTCCCAAGGCCCCAGTGGGAAAGTTCGCATGGCACCGCCTCCCACCGCCGCCCCATTTCAGCACACCCCTCACACGCTTCGTGGCCCCACAGGGAGGGAGCTCCGACGAAGGCCCGTCTGGGCAAGTTCGCATGGCACCGCCGCCCCTTTCGGCACACCTCTCACACGTGTCGTGGTCCCACAGGGAGCTCCACCTAAGGCCCCAGTGGGAAAGTTCGCATGGCACCGCCGCCCCATTGCGGCACACCCCTCACACGTGTCGTGGTCCCACATGGAGCTCCACCTAAGGCCCCAGGGGGAACGTTCGCATGGCACCGCCACCCCATTCCGGCACACCCATCACACGCTCCGTGGCCCCACAGAGCTCCACCGAAGACCCCAGAGGGAAACATCGAATGGCACCGCCGCCCAAATTCGCCACACCCCTCACACGTTGCGTGGCCCATAGGGAGCTCCACCGAAGGCCCCAGGGGGGAACGGTTGCATGGCACCGCCGCCCCATTTCGGCACACACCTCACACGTTTCGTGGCCCCATCAGGCTCTCCACCCAAGGCCCAAGAGGGAAAGTTCGCATGGCACCGCCGCCCACCGCCGCCCCATTTCGGCACACCCCTCACACGTTTCGTGGCCCCACAGGGAGGGAGCTCCGCCGAAGGCCCGTCTGGGCAAGTTCGCATGGCACCGCCGCACCATTTCGGCATACCCCACACACATGTCGTGGCCCCACAGGGAGCTCCACCTAAGGCCCCAGTGAGAAAGTTCGCATGGCACCGCCACCCCATTCTGGCACACCCATCACACGCTCCGTGACCCCACAGGGAGCTCCACCTAAGGCCCCAATGGGAAAAATCGAATGGCACCGCCGCCCCAGTTCGGCACACCGCTTACACGTTTCGTGGCCCACGGGGAGCTGAGCTCCACCTAAGGCCCCAGTGGGAAAGGTTGCATGACACCGCCGCCCCAGTTCGGCACACACCTCACACGTTTCGTGGCCCATTGGGAGCTCCACCGAAGGCCCCAGTGGGAAAGTTCGCATGGCACCGCCGCCCCATTTCGGCACACACCTCACACGTTTCGTGGCCCCATCAGGCTCTCCACCCAAGGCCCAAGAGGGAAAGTTCGCATGACACCGCCGCCCACCGCGCCCCATTTCGGCACACCCCTCACACGTTTCGTGGCCCCACAGGGAGGGAGCTCCGCCGAAGGCCCGTCTGGGCAAGTTCGCATGGCACCGCCGCCCCATTTCGGCACACACCTCACACGTTTCGTGGCCTCACAGGGAGCTCCACCTAAGGCCCAAGGGGGAAAGTTCGCATGGCACCGCCACCCCATTTCGGCACACACCTCACACGTTTCGTGGCCCCACAGGGAGCTCCACCGAAGACCCCGATGGGAAAAATCGAATGGCACCGCCGCCCCATTTCGGCACACCGCTTACACTTTTCGTGGCCCATAGGGAGCTCCACCTAAGGCCCCAGTGGGACAGGTTGCATGACACCGCCGCCCCAGTTCGGCACACACCTCACACGTTTCGTGGCCCCATCAGGAGCTCCACCGAAGGCCCCAGTGAGAAAGTTCGCATGGCACCGCCGCCCACCGCCGCCCCAGTTCGGCACACACCTCACACGTTTCGTGGCCCCACAGGGAGGGAGCTCCGCCGGAGGCCCTTGTGGGCAAGTTCGCATGGCACCGCCGCCCGATTTCGGCACACCCCTCATGCGTTTCGTGCTGCCTTGGCACCGCCGCCCCATTTCGGCACACACACACACACCTCACACGTTTCGTGGCCCCATAAGGAGCTCCTCCGAAGACATCAGTGTGAAAGTTCGCATGGCACCGCCGCCCAATTTCGGCACACCCCTCACTTGTCTCCTGGTCCCACAGGGAGCTCTACCGAAGACCCCGGTGGGAAAGTTTGCAGGCGTCCTCTCGACTCATGTTGGCACACCCTTCACATGCTTCGTGGCAGAAGGCTATACCGCGTGCGCTACTCGGAGTTTGCGCGCCCTTCTCCTTCGTCTCATCTCCCTCGCGGCACTCGCAGCTGCATATGGTTCGGTCCTTCGTCGGATTTATTGTGTACTAGTCTTCATTTTCCTCATGTAGAAAGACATGCCAGACTTGACATCACGCGACCTCCGAGACCCTCCCTCCCAAAAGGCCTCCTAGATGGGGTCCGACCAGATGGGGTCGGAGGATCGCGCCGCATCGTCGATACATCGGCGATGCATCGACCATGTATCGGCGATGCACCGGCGACGCATCGCCGGCATCGGCGATGCATCGGCGACGTCGGCGTGGGGAAACACGGGCTTCACATCGAATCGCATCGCCGATGTATAAGCGATGCATCAGCGTTGCGGCGCGATCCTGCGACCCCATCTACTCGGACCCCGTCTAGGAGGCTTAGACTTACGTCGGGCATGTCCTCCTACAGGCGGATGTCGTAAGAGAAAGGTTTAACACATATTCCAACAATACTCCAAAGTAGTCAAAAAACATCATCGAAAACTCGTCCCCTGACTAGTTCTTCGCCTACTTTCGAGCACTCCTCCTGTAGAGGGACACGCCCGGCCCACGAGGGCGGGCGGGTGGGAGCGCACGAGGGGGGAGGCGGGCCGCCGCCGCCGCTCGCCTGTCGGCGACGGGCAGGGTGGCTTCTCTCAGCCGCTGCACCAGCGCGGTGAGCACGCCGCAGATGTAGCCCTGCGGCCGCCCCGCCCCCGGGGGCGAGGGGCATCGAGCATCCTGGATCGAGGAGGGCCGAGGAGCGGGGAGGAGGACGAGGGGATGAGGATGAGGAGGAGGAGGAGGAGGACGAGGAGGAGAGAGGAGGAGCGAGGGGGATCCAGCCTCCAGGATCGAGGAGGAGGACGAGGAGGAGCGAGGGGAATCTAGCCTCCAGGATCGAGGAGGATCGAGGAGCGGGGAGAAGGGCGAGGACGAGGAGGAGCGAGGGGGATCGAGCCTCCAGGATCGAGGAGGATCGAGCCTCCAGGATCGAGCCTCCAGGATCGAGGAGGAGCGAGGGGGATCGAGGCGAGGAGGAGGAGCCCGCCCCTGCCCCTGCGCCTCGACGACTTATACACAGACGACCTCCCACGAGCGCTGCAAGTAGCTTCATGGAGGGCGGTGGTGTATATGTCGCCGGCTTCCAGTGGTGATTTACGCACCGCCACCCTCCCCTGAGGCCCAAGAACAATGCATTGGAGGGTGTCTGTGTATTTTTGTGTGGCGGAGCCCTGGGGCTGGGCGGCAGCACCGCTCAAGGAGTGACGACCTCTGGCCCAGACGAGGCCAGGACGATGATAGAAATCCAAGGGAGGGCACATCGAGGATCGCTGAGGTCCAGCGGCTCTGGAGAACGTCTCGGGCGCCGCGGCCTTCTCCGAGCGTTCCAGAACGCTCTGAGAGCGATCAGGAACGCTCTGGAACGGCTTGATCCTCGTTCCAGCCCCGTCCTACAGCATCGCTCGAAGATCAACGACATCTGGTGCCCCTCGACGCGCGCCAGACCTCATACCAGGGCGGGTGGTCGGCGTGATGTCCTCCGGGAAGTCCGGTACGCCCCCTTCGATTCTGGGGCCCAGACGGCGGAGCAGCAGGGAATCGTGAAGTATTTGAAGATAGGAGTGGAAACGGATGTCTTTGGAATTACCCCGAGTGGTCTGACCACACATCGGATTACTTCAACTTGCATTATGTCGGGCATGTCCCCCTACAGGCGGATATTGGACGAAATTTCTATATATATATATATATATGTAAAATCAAAACAAAATCGTCCCCAGACTACTTTTCTACTATGTTTTAATATTCCTCCTGTAGAGGGACACGCCCGACTTCAGACTTGCATCGGCTCATCAGGCTCTCCAGCCTCGCAGGTCGGCTGGAGAAGAGTCGTCAGATCCTTAGGAACAACAGCAGCAGGAGACGTCGTCCTGTTCGCCTCGTCGTCGGGGCTGAGAGGGGGACAAGGGAATCAGCCGCATGCACCTGGCCTTCCTGGCGCGCTGGGCGGCGCCAGCGGCACCTGCCTGTGCATCGAGGCGAGTGCCTGGCCGCAGGGCCGAAGCCAGCTGCACGCAACAGACTTCGCACCCCCCGCTCGTCCACCCCAGCCGCGATCATCGTCGTTCGGCGGCGACGATCAGGGCGCATAGCGTAGGGGCGGGCATTACGTATTCGCCCGGGAGCCTTGCCGAAGACATAGATCATCGGCGCCCCTGAATACATGTATTGCTCTCCCCTGGGCTATTCGCCCCTATCGTCGCCTCTGAGTCGTCCTCGGCGACGCCGCCCGGGCGGTGGCCCCCCCCGGCGCGCAAACGCGGCGGAGGGGCACCGGCGGAGGCAGGGCGCGAGGCCGATGGCCGGCGGCGGCGGCGGCGGAGGGCCGGTGGCTGCGCGCAGTTGGCGGCAGCGGCGGCGGGGTCGTTACATATATATATATATATATACTGATGTTGTGTTATTATTGCTTTGTTTTTGTATTTATCTTTATTATTCGTATTAGTATTATTATTATGATTATTATTAGTATTATTAATATTATTATTATTATCATTTTTATTATCATTTTAATTATTATTATTAGTATTATTATTGTTATTATTATTATTATGGTTATTAGTATTATTATTATTTTGTGTGTTTGTCTTCTTTCACTCCGATTTTTTCGGCGGCAGCGGCGGCGGGGTCGTAGGGGAGGCTCCCCAGGACCAGACGAGCGACGAGAAGATGCTGGACTTGCGCGGGGTGACACAGCGACCTTACGCCGCGGCGTACAGCTGGCCCATATCATAAGGATGCGCGATAAGGATGCAAGAGCCTTGGATTCTCATGTCGAAGCTTCTCGAGCGGGTCGCGGCCGACGAAAGTGGCCAAGGATGGACCGAGGAGGCAAGGATGCAAGGATACCCTTGGGAAGGTTGCCCATGCTTACTATGCAGGTTGACTGTACGCGCCAATGTCGGCGCAACCGACAGTGTTTCTGCCGTCGCTCAGATGGCGGCGCGCACACAGGAGGTGGCGCGAGGGGTACGGCTGCTAAGAATGCAGGGGGGTTCTCAGAAGCCCTCGGGGCTTCGAGGAGGCCTCCCGAGAAGCAGACAGGTCCGTCCTTGGCGCCCCATGCCGTCCAAGAAATCCGCGCGCTCTTACAGTGGAGGCCCGACCACAACAAATCTTGCACAAGAAACCCAACCCTGAGACATGGATGTTTGGTGTGGGAGCGTCACGCTCTCCATCGCAAAACCATCGAAACCCAAGAAACCCAGGGCACCCTGCAGGCAAGCAGGGTGTTTTTTGGCAGTGGGTCTCCACAGTAGAAGGCAACCTCCCGAGCGCCACCCCCCCTGTGCCCGCCGCCAACCCAGACATCCCCACCCCGCGTCGCGATCAAACCCTCAAATTTGAACCGTTCTCTGCCTCGTAGGAGCCCGTACGTCAGGTTCGTGTCGTACCGACTTCGGAGTTGGATTCTGACACCGCGGGGATCGTTCAACCTTGAACGATCGCCGTTTCCCAAACGTCCGAATCGTTCCACACCGAACGATTCTGGGTCGCCCGCGGCGTTCAACCTTAGACGCCGTCGGTCGTCACGACACGAACCTACCGTATGGGGGCCCCAGAACCGTGTGACAACGACTCGGGACCTCCGAGAGAGCGTCTTTCGCAGGGGCCATGCTGCGCAGAGCAAGTCCCTCCCCCTTCGGCGGAACTGGCACCACGCACCCCCCTCTCTCGAAAATTCCCCCGCAGAGAACTGGGACCCCCCCCCCCCTCTGGCGAGAACCCCCCCCCCCTCGGTTGCTAAAAATGCAGGGGGGGATCTTAAAAGCCCTCGGGGCTTCGAGAAGGCCTACCGAGAAGCAGACAGATCCTGCTCTGGCGCCCCATGCCGTCCAAGAGAAGCCCGTGCGCTCCTAGATGGCCACCCCCCGAGCGCCACCCCCCTGTGCCCGCCGCCAACCCAGTCCCCCCCCCCGCGCGTCGCGATCGAACCCTCGAACCTGAACCGTTCTCTGCCTCCGACCTCCTAGAGAGTTATGTTGCTCCCGTCGTACTTAAGGACCACATCTCAGAACTACTTTCGAACACCCAGAAAAGTATCGAAGAAGTGTCGAACGAGTATCGCCTCCCAAGGCCCGACACATGAAAAGCCTCCAGTGTCGGTACTTCCTTGGTGCTCAAAATCCTTTTCTTGTGGTCAAGGCTAAAGTAGGTTGGAACATCATAGCGAGAGAGCGTCTTTCGCAGGCGCCATGCCACAAGTCCCCCCCTTCGGCAGAACTGGCACCACTTATCCCCTCTCGAAAGTTCCCCCCCCCAAAGAACTGGGACCACCACCCCCATCTGGCGAGCACCCCCCCCAACACCACGCCTCTCTGCGCGTCGGCAGACAACACGACAATGAGCGGCGACGACGACGCTGACGCTGACTTTGACGCTGACGCTGCCGACAACGGAGGAGACAAGGACGAGAAAAATCAAAGACCAGAAACCAACCACGACGACGAGGGGGGTGAAACACTGAAGGTGTCGAGCACCTCGGGCGGGCGGGACATTGACGCGGGCGGGTCGGTCGGTCGGCACTCAAGCGGGCGGCGGGCGGCGCTTAAGGCGGGCGGGTGGGTTTGGCGGCTTCGCGGCGGGCGAGCGAGCGGGACAGTCAATGCAAGCTTTGCTCATTGACGGAGCGAGGCTGGCGGAGATGACACCAAAAAACATGGGAAGCGGCGACGACAGCGAGGACGGCGAGCGGGACACACACAGGCGGGCGAGACACGAAAATGAAACCTCGCGCGTTGACACAGCCAAGCTGGGTGCTAAAAAGGCATGAATTGTGCAACAACAACCAACAAAAAGACAACAACAAAAAAAACCGACCCCGTCGGCGTGTGTGAGACATTTTTCCGTTTGAGTCGTCGTCACAGTCGCCGCTCCCCCCTTCCCTGGGCCCTTCTCCTCAAAAGATCCGGTAAGACAGAAATCAAACAGCGTCGAAATGAATTCGAACGGGAACCCTTTCGCTTTGATCCCTTCCCTGGCGGCGGGTGGGTCCCGGTCCCGCGGAAGCCTAGAGTCTGGGGGAGGTCGCGGGGGAGGTCCCACGGGGGGTGGGTCCAGCGAGGGGGAGGTCCCAAGGGGGTCTCCTAAGGGAGCTGTGACTTCCCCCCCAGGGTCCCCCCTGTGGACAAGGGGGCCGTGGCCCCCGTATGGACAAGGGGAGCTCGGGACCAGTCCCCCCGGCCACCCCTGTGCACAAGGCCTCCCAGACCCCCCCCCTGGAGGCACCCTCCTCACTCTTAGCTGCTGCGGCGGGACGCTGCGTGTTTTCCTGAATGCCTCCAAGATGCCTCAAATCTGCTCCTTGGCGGCTCCGGGCGGCTACGGAGCTTTCAACCAACAGAGCCCAAGAGGCTCCGAAGAGGGCCCCAAGAAGGGCTCCAGAGCGTGAGTTCCGTCGTCGTCGCCGTCGCCGCCGCCGCCGTGGCCGTCGTCCCCCTTCAGGGTCGGCGGCACTGGCCATAAGGCCTTCCCCATACTGGGCTGCAACTATGACGACGGGTGTGGCATTGAAGAGACCAGGCGGGCGGGAACTTAAATGTAGACATCGCTCTTTAATAGACATTATCACCGACAGCCTATTCCCCGCGCCGCGCCACGCGCGGCACCTGGCTACTTTCGCGCGCCGCGTTTCC